AGCCCTGCTTCACCGCCTCTTGCAGCCTGGGGCTCCGTCTCCTCCTGCCGTTGAAGTTTTCCTCTTTGTAGCACGTCCCCTGCCCCGCCTGCGCCAGAGCTGCGGGGCTGCTCCCCTGCACCCCGCATCCTCCCCGCATCTCTCCGGCCAACCCTAAGCCCGGCTGCTCCAGCTGCAGAGGGGTCCCCAAAGGCGCCTTCAGCGGGGACCAGGGCTCCCCCTGAGCAACGACTCCCACACAAGAGACGCAACTAATTGCCGTCTGTGCCCTCGAAAAAGAACCAAAGTAGACAAAAGCTCAAGATATGTCCCCTCCAAAATAGGTCTGTTGGCTATTTCAGCTCACCAGCAACAGATAAGGAACTTTTCTTCACAGAGTACCATTTCCACAAAGCCTCCGGGAAATAGCACTGACCTGGGGAAGTAGGACACCCTTAGCTCCCTGACCCCCAGCAAGCACCACTGCTTCCCTCACACCCACAGCTCAGCACTCCAGGCAACTTGCCAAACAGCAGCAGCAGCAATAGAAAACACAGGAGGAATCGAAGTCTTCCCTTGCCTAGGTCTGGGCAATTTATTGCATTTCTTGTTTATCTTCCATCAGGGAGAATGGCACAGGGCTAAATGGCTGATGCTGGGCCCATGGCATGCATTCCCTGGGGTGGGTGTAGAGCAGGTGGGGTAAGGCAAGCCCTTCTGGCAGTGTTGCGAAGAGAGTATCCTCATTCTAGGAGGAGGGATGTGGCTCTTTGAAAAGCTGCCATGCCTCTTGGAGAGGGAGAGAGGTTCCCTACAAGACACTCCCAGCAAACCCTCCTTCTGCTTGGGCGCAAACCCTGCTTCCTGCACCATGAAAGAGATTTCCTACCCCAGAAGCCTGCATGGATGGACCTGCAGCAAAGAGCTCTTCCAGAGGTGAAGCCTTCTGGAGACACAGAGCCCTGCCTCCAATGCCCTGCTCTGCACGGCGAGCCAGGCAGTGCTGGCAGAGCGAGGGCAGTCAGGCAGGCTGACCTCATCCCACCGAGCACCACCTCTGAAGCACCAAGAGCATGTCAGGCAGTTTAGGCAGAAAAGAGCAACTGTGGAAACACACCACTTCTTCAACGCTCTCGCACTTGGGATGCCTGACACAGCTGAGGGAGCGCTGCTGGGGCAGCCAAAACACGTGTGAGGAGGCAGCTAATGACTGCCTCACCATGACCATGGCTCTCACAGAAAGTGCCCCAGATAGTGCCATGCAGGAGAGAGGTGACCCCATTACTCCTGTGTGTTCACCATTCCCTCCTCTCCAAAGAGAGCTCCTTAGAGTGCAGGCCAGTTTATTCCTCTTCCCCAAACACCATCATCTCAGCTGCTTGTTTCTGCATTTCCCAAAGCTGGGGAAGGTGCTGCTCTGCTCCTACCCATCACGCTGTGAAGTCCAGAGCAGGGGCCCTGCTCATCGGGGGCGGCTGGGCAGAGTGCAGGCTGCTGCCATCTCCCAGGGTGGGAAGTGCAGCCCACAGCCCTGTGGTAGCTTTCCAGCCCATTGCCTTGAAGGGCCAAATCCCATGCACCAGGTAGGAGCCAGCATCAACCCAGAGGCTTGGACACTGGTGCTCCTGGCCAGTCTCAGGCTCCAAGGCTCATCTTGGCTTTATCAAGCACAGTGCATTTGAGCAGCCACACGCTCAGTTCAGATGGTAAAAGAAAAGAGTGACTTTTTTATCATCTCCCTCCCTTTCTAGTTCCCTGGTGGTGAGCAAAGGGGGTCAGGCAGCTGGACCAACTGTTGATGACAGCAGAAGGGGAAGAAGAGAGGGACAGAGCCTGCCAGACACCTTGCTGTTGCTCAGGAAGACACAGGATCAAGATGGAGGAAGCAATGCTTCTCTCTCAGTTCAGAACAAAGGTCAGGCATGAAAAAGGCGTCAAATAAATAAATTCATACATGACAGCATTTATGAGTCATTTTTACACCTCACACAGTGGCAGATGCACACTGAGAGGAGCTGGCTCTGGGACCCTTCTGCCTGCAGCCCACGGGGCTTGCCCTGGGCTGGGACCATAGGCCATGCCTCATACACTCTGCAGGGCAGAGCTGGGCCCTGCTCAGCTCCCAGGGTCTGAGGCAGAAGCTATTTAGGTTACATAGATTATTTAATATCATACAAGGGGCATGCTCAGGTTAACAGCCATCAAAGTTCATGGGATTCAGTTCCTTGCACCACAGAGGAGAAGGGAGAGCCCGGGCAGAGCCCCTCACATTTCACTGGATAACCCCATTGCTCAGAAACTCCTTTCCACTGGATCACCAGCATGGGGGGTAACATTTAAACCTGTGTCTGCCAGTTCAGCATTTACAGCAGGTCAGGAAAGGCATTAGTCAGGTCATTGTCTGAGGTCAGTTCACAGTCTTGGTGTTGCTTTTCCAGCTGTATGTTTTGTGCTCTCATGAGCAGCAGCTGAGATTTGGCTGCAGGAGGCACCACAGCTAATCTCCTCACTGAGGGCTCGCCTATGGAGCCTCAGGGATTGTGTGGCAATTGGGAAGGACGCCACTGAGCCCCTCCTCGGGCTGTGGGTCACAAGCTCCCCCCCAAAGGGGTCCTGTCAGCCTCCTGCTACCAGCTCAGCCCAGGCAGACACCAGTGGGGATAGCACTTACCCCAGCCCCAGGGGAAGGCAGCTGAGTGAAGGGCATGGACTGAGGATCACTGCTACACTGGTAAAGACCAAAGTGGTGTAAACTAGGGAAGGGAAGCATCCTGACAGGATTTCGCCTGCCAGCCAACAAGCTTGAGACTCACATGCTCTGCTTCCCTGTTTGAGGACACAGGTTACTTTTGGGGTTGGAAGATGACAGAAGGGAGAAGGTGTCATCCCTCTGGCCTGAGTGGAAAAAGGACATGTAGCCAGCTCAGGCTCTGCCTGCCCCAGCCATGGTCAGCCATGAGTGCTGCACAGTGCTAAATGTCTGCCCAGCATCTGTCCACAAAATGCTCTTTATGCAGCCCCTGTGCCCACAGATTGGTACAAAGGGGTCAGTGCTACTCCAAGCTAGGAGGAGAAGCTGAGGCACAGAGATGCAAGAAACGACTTGTGCATGCCCATGGTACAAATGTGTTATGAGTTTGGTCCCAGAGCATGTGAGTGCCTTGGCCCGCGTCCTGCCCTCCTAACACCAGCGTACAGAGGCAAAGTGAGATCTTCATCCTGGCCCAGGATAGAACCAAGAGGGCACCAGATGAGGTAGGGAGTGGTTCCTCCTCTCCCTACGTTAGCCAGGTAAAGCTAAAATCACACAGCATTGTATTGGCCAGAAGCCACCGCTGGTTTGAAGGGTAACAGCAGCTCTGAAGAAGCCTTACGAGTCTGGTTCCAGGATGAAAAAGACAGTTCTCCTCCCCTGCCCTACACAACCCTAAAAAAAACAGCAGGGATTTTCCAGTTCAGTGCTGTTTCCACCAGCAACCTCTCAGGGCTGCCCCACACACAGAGTAGCAGCAGGTTTGGGCTCTGCTTTCCTGCTGTCCCCCAGAATTGGGGACCATGGAGTGGGCAGTGCTGTTTTGAGGGGAGTTTCCGTACTTCTTCCCAAGGAGAGACTTGGCACATGCAGGATCCAAGCAGTCCCTGTGAAGGAGGTGAAACACAAGGCAAACCCAGGCGATGCAGAGAAAACATAAAAGGAGAACCATGGCTCCAAGGTCTCTAGCGCCTGGCCACCTCCCCTCTCCTCCTGCTATGAGCCTGTGACAACCCGCACCTCACTCTGGCATTCCACCCTCTGCAAGGCAGACACGCCAAAGGCCAATGTTAATCTGAAGGCTGTTATCCAGAGCGACCTTCTCTTAACCCCCACCACACCCATCCCATCAGGCACCTGAGCTCCAGACAGGAATTAAAAGTTTTCCCTTCCCCTCTCCCCAACTCCACCCCAGTCTCTTCTTCCCTCCCTGGTTTTATTCCCCCTTTGATTTCTGGGTGCTCCTCAGATAAGTCTTGAAGAAGTAGTTGCAGAAGAGCACCAGCAAACTGAGATACAGCACAGATGTAAGGAAAACACCTGTCCAGGTGGTGTGGCAGACCTTATCCTCCATCCAGAAGATGATCAAGATGTTCATTATTACATATGCCAGCATCTGCAGCGTCTGTGAAATGGTGATTGTCATGGCGATGAAGTGGGGTACTTGGAAGCCTGTGGCTCGCACTGCATAGTAGGAGTACATGACAGCATGGACACTGAAGTTCAAGACTGCAGGCCAGCTGCTGCCAACAAGCATATCCTTATAGTGATACCAGGCGACGATCAATGTTACAGAGTGGTGGTACCAGTGGAGGAAGGTGAGCTTCTTTTTCCGGAGAACAATGAACACAGTGTCACCTTGGGTTGGGGGAGAGGTGCATCGTTAGTCATGTAAAAGCACAGCAGTTGTGCAAATTTTCATGTGAAGCAGAATGAGTGAGCTGCAATGCTGAAGCCATTATGTGGCTTTATCCCACCAAAACTTAGGTTCCCATTGGAATCATCTGTATCAATAAAGCTCATGTAGGTATCTACCTGCTGGCACATTTGTGGTACAAGAGCTCCTTGCCCCAGGCTTGCTTACCTAGCTCTACCTACACAGCACTTCAGACCAGCTCTTCTGTACTTTTTCAGATGGAAGCTGGGTGGAAAGCCCAGCCCTCCCCTGCCTGCTTGCTGCCCAGTGCAGAATTGCCTCATCCAGGTGCCAGCCTGGGGATCAAACCAGAGCAATAACATCAGGATGCAACCCCATGGAGAGCAAGCATGTTGTCTGGGTTGAGCAACAGGGAGCAAGAAAATGAGTGACATGTGCAAGGCTAGACAGCCCTGTTTTCTGAATAACATTTGGACAGAGAAACCTGTAAAAAAACCTGCTTGTAAAAGCAAAGGAGTTATAAACACACGGGATAAGGAGAAGTTTCAGACTCACCCAGTTCCATGAGTTTGCTTAGCACAAATAAATATGACCAAAGCTTGGAGACAGGGTGGATATAGATGGATTGACTACACACTGACTGCTTAAGTCCCTTGGTAGAGAGGATCAAGGCCATTTGCTTCCACATCCGAAGGGCCCCAATGGCACTATAAGAAAACCAGAGGAGAGCTGAACACTCTGCCCAGGGCCTCGCCAGAGCCTTCAACCGCTCTGCACCCAAGAATATTCATCTAACTCCATCTTGATGCCCAGGGCAGTCTGAGGGATACCTAACAACAAACTGTTGTCTTCTTAGACTTCCAAACATGTTTCAGCCTCCCTCCGTTTGCTGGGCACAGGCTTGCCCAAGGCCTCTTGGCCAGGATTTCAAACACACACATTTCTTCAAGACAGAGCAGGGAGGGGCTGCTGCTCACACCAGAACAACAGCAAGGCACAAGGAGCAAGTAGGTTTTGAGCCACCAACATGGCCCTTTGGCTTGTGTGGTGCCATGCAGCAGCTCCTGGAGGATGGCAGCAGCCAAGATCTGAGCAGCAAAGAATTCCCCCTTGTTACACCCTCTGCTTCCACTGCTTGAAGAGGCACTCAAGAGTAAAAGCTGCCACATCTGGTCACAAAAGGGGGGGCAATTGTCCTGGTGTCCCGTCTCCTGACAGAGGCCAACAGTGCGTGCCCAGGGAGCATTTACAACCTCCTGTGGCAGGCAGTTCCTACATCTTATGAGAAGAAACATCCCTTTTTCTTTGTTATCAACCTATACATTTCATTTGTATGAGCTCGTCTCTGAACAGACCATGAACAGTCATCCCCTGCTTCCCCCTTTCCCACAACTTGTGATTTTACAGACCACTGCCATGCCCCACCCTCACAGAGGGCAACCAGCATCCCTTAGACCTGACCAAAGCCAACTTGTGCACGTATGCAGAGACACTCCTCTGGAGTTACAGAGGCAGTAGTCTAGTTTTGCTCTCTCCTACCAAACAGACTGAAAAGGTGAGGAGATGAGGGGAATGTTGGAAAATTGACATCTGCTTGTTTAATTACAGGGTGAATCTTTCTCATGGTCACTGCGGAAATCCAGTACCATAAGACAGGACAGTTAGAAAACAGGTATTTTAGACTGATCTTCACATTTTTCATGGCTGGGGAAAAAAAAAAAAAAAAATCAGAGCTAGAACTTGGCAGTAGTACCAGGCTGTTCTTAAAAGGTGTCTCTAAAAACGGAAAGCAAACTAACCCTGTCTTCGTACCATCATTCTCCTGGCACTGCAACTACTCATACTTTTTTCTTTTTTCCCCTGTATCAAAGCATACTGGAAAGACAACCCAAGGACTGGTGATTGTCAGCAACTTTGATATATTGGACTAGTTTATGCTACCAGCCAGAGAGGACCTCCCAGCCTCTTTCATGTTCTTCTTTAGATTTACAGTAACAAAGGTGCTTCTGTGAGCATACCAGAAATTTCCCCACCACCTACAAACAGGACTAGAAAAAGGGGTGGTGGTAGGGGGAATCTCCATTTTAGAGAGTAATAGGCCTCAAATCAAACTTAAAATTGTCAGGCACCATTTGAATGATGATCTCTTCTCTTGCAGACTTCACATTAAAATCTACCCACTAATGATTTTCAAGCACAGTCCCCAGCAGTCCTTCTGCAACTCATTTGACTTGCTGGAGTATTTCTGGTGGGGAGCCAATGATCTGTATGAGCAGCTCACTTCCACATATGGGACAGGGCCTCCAAGGGGAAAAAACCATGTATTTCTCTAATGACATAGGGGATGCCCAGAACTTTCCATCAATCCAGTCCTGAAGGAAGGTCTACAGCTGTCTCTGGCTTTAGCAAAGGCTCTTACCTGAACAAGGCCAGACTGAGGGACCACAGGGTCAGTGGTACGCGCAGTTGGTAGCCTCTCCGTTCCTTCATGAAATGCTGGATTCCAAAGATCAGGATCAGGTAAGCCACAGAAATATATACAGACATGTGCCTGCAAGTAGAGGAGAAGGAGCAGTCAGGAAAAGACCCAAACCGACCTATTTCCAGACAGACTTCTGTGGCCTCAGCAGATCACTCTCACCAAGAAACAAAAGATCTCCTATTCTTGTGTTAAGGTTGGGCTTGGTCACAAGTAGCCTGCCCTGACAGTGAGAAGAGCTGGCAAGGAAAAACCCTGTGACCACAGAAAAGAAAGCGAGCTGTTACATTGTGGAGATTTCCACAGACCTTGATGGGATGAGGTGGGATCTGGTAACCTGTGAGCAGGATCCTGAGCAAACACATCAATGCATTTTATCTGCTTACACCTGAGATCCTACAGGCAGAGGATGCTCTTTGCCTAAAGCGGCCAGTTGCACCAGAAAGCTAGTCTCAAGGGCCATGTGTTATGTCCCACTCCTTTCCAAGGCTTTAGGGCAGTATGGCAGGGCTGAGTGCCCTGTTTACTGCAGTGGCCATCCGTGGCTGCTCCTTGCCCTCTTGCCACAACACAACCTCCCTACGGGCTGCAGCACGACTTCGACCACCGTTTGCTCTGTCCCAAAACCTCCTCCTCCTCCTCGGGGCTGAGGGCCCCACGCCCGCTCTGGTAGAAACAGCAGGACCCGACGGTTCTACCCAGGGTCTGGGATGCACCAGAGCAGCAACCTCCTCTCTTCTCACCAGTTCTCCTGCATCCATTCCCGAGCTTCCTGCTCATTGAAGTTCCTCTCGAAGTCGTACTCCTCCAGCGGCTGCAGCTCCGATGGGTCGAAGCTCAGCTCCATATCGAGCATCCCCGGGAGTGAGCCAAAACGAGCTGCTCCTCCACTCTGCACCGGCAGATATAGTCCCGGGGATGTGCTCCGCCCCGGCATCGTACTGTGGGGGTGGGACTGGG